CCACCCTCCCTCCGCCCGCTTTCTGAAAGCTGCCCCAAAGCACGCTCTATATTCTGTCTGTAGTCTTGGTGGTCAATCGAGGTGCAATGATTAATCGATTAATCGATCAACAACTAAATTAATCTGGAATTGTTTTTGATCATCGATTAATCTTTTAATGACCGTTTTTGACCAAAAATTGTCCGAATGCTTAAAATGTCATCTTCTCAACTGTAAGTATCCAATTTCTGTAGTCCTCGGTGAAAGCGCACTGATTATCTTTTGTTGTGTTCAACCAAAATAAAACATCTTCCTTTGGAAAACAACTATCAGCATTGTCGTCAAATTTGGGGACATATTTGGAAATCATGTCATATTATTGAATAAAAAGATGAAAATTAAACTGCTTTTTAAAAATCGCAATTCATCAATCAATCAACAAAATAATCAACAGATTAATGCATTCTTAAAATAATCACACAGTAGAAGCCCAAACCTTCAAACTCTGACCATGCTAACTCACAGTGCAGCTATTTGATATGCTCACCACCCTCATGCGGAGTTACTCCACGACTTGGCAGCTAGCCTTGGTGAAGATCCACCACTTTGCCCTGTGGAGAAACCCAAAAGCGAAACCAGCTACACTTTTAGTGCGGATCAGCCTCAGCTTCTGAGAAGCAGCACATGCTCGAATGTTTGGTGAAGTAGTTGACGCATTCCTTTTGGGGCATCTGTCCGCTGCATGTGCCACATACACGGATCGGCGACAAGTGAAACGACAGTCTGTTCATTCGCTATTTTTCTGGGCGTTCCTTTTTGTATTTTACATCTTGTCGCAACATCCTCAAAACAGGTTGAGCTACGTGAGCTTTAAATGATTAAAAAAAGAAAAAAAACAGTGACAAAAATCGCATCACAACTTCTTTAACGTTTGCTTGCTGTTGGTGTGGGAGCATCGTCGCGTGGAACTTAATATTCCGCATGCTTGCGTTTCCTTTTTCTACACGGCTTTCCATCTGCAGATGACATTCACACAGAAAATTGACTCGGAATTAACACTTTGGCCCCGGAATACTAAAATCTCCACGTTCATAATCGTCTCATTTGACGCCGCTGTTTTAAAAAAAAAAAAACTCATTTCAGTGTGGATTAAAAACAAAACCGACATGTTTATACTCTATTCAATCAATGCTTTTGCATCCGCAGCAAATGTGTCCATTTTTGTTGGGAGTTTCTGCTAATCACTTATTACAAGATGAGTTCTAGAAAATGGCCCGAGGAAAGGAAAAAAAAAATGTAATCACCCAAAGCAAGTCAATAAAAGTCGAACTGCTGGGAGGAGACTTTTGCCATTATGTAGTTTGCCGCATCGCCTCTGTGTCAAAGCAGAACGTGATCAAGTGCGTGGTGGGCGCTTTTGCGCAGGTAACTCCACGCGCTGATGAAGCCATTCATCCCCAATCACGCTCTTCCCGTCTGTCTCTCTTGTTTACGCAGTTCTCTTTCCCGAGACGTCCGCCGCGACATGAGGCCTGCGGCAGGTAAGGACGCCTTCGCTTCAATTTCGTGCCGCGCATCACCTCGCCTTTTTTTAAGGGTTCCGTGTGAAGGGGCCAAGTGAAAAATGTCAAGTGATATCAAATCAATCGAGTCGAGTCTGGACTACAACTCGAGCGGGAGAGGAGGGGGTCGGCAGTGGGGAGGGGCGGAGAGGCTCGACGACATCTAGCAAAGTGACTGAAAGGGGAGCGGGAGAGTAACTGGCACTGATGGGACCAGACTGGGACTGCGCGGGGCCCGGCGAGCCTGATTGATAGAGCGTGATGAGACTGTCATGGAGCAACGGCGTTGGCAAAATAGGCGGCGGGACGGTCTATGAGCGGCGAGATCGAGCGGGAGAAACGCATTGGAGAACACGTGACGGATGATGCCGGCAAATATCATGATGGGATTTGGGCTGCTCGCTGCTTCTACCCGGGTGAAACTTGGCACGAGGGCTCAGAGACGATTTGTTCACCGTCCTGCTAACCACAGCTGGAAAATTAGAGAAAAATAATCAATCGTAATTGTTTTGATTGAGCTCGAAATGAACCAAAAGATGATTCATTGATTTCAAAACGTAGTTCTTCAAGTACCAAAACTCAACTCCTCATGCACATTCATCACGTTCGTCACAACACCTTATTCTTGAACACTATTCTTTTTGTCAAGTTCGGAATGACCTTGCGGGCGGCCCGGTGGTCCAGTGGTTAGCCCGTCAACCTCGCAGTGCAGAGATCGTGAGTTCGATTCCGGCTCCGGCTTTCCTGTGTGGAGTTTGCATGTTCTCCCCGGGCCTGCGTGGGTTTTCTCCGGGTACTCCGGTTTCCTCCCACATTCCAAAAACACGCATGGCAGGCTGATTGAACACTCAAAATTGTCCCTAGGTTTGAGTGTGAGCGCAAAAAGTAAAAGTAAAAATAAAAATGTTTAACTGTGAAACTGAACTGGACTGAGCCAGTGACTCTAAAACATGTTGCGAATCCCTGCACGATTGAATGCAACCGTTTTTATGCTCCTTGTTCATTTCAGTGTGGATTAAAAACAAAACCGACATGTTTATACTCTATTCAATCAATGCTTTTGCATCCGCAGCAAATGTGTCCATTTTTGTTGGGAGTTTCTGCTAATCACTTATTACAAGATGAGTTCTAGAAAATGGCCCGAGGAAAGGAAAAAAAAAATGTAATCACCCAAAGCAAGTCAATAAAAGTCGAACTGCTGGGAGGAGACTTTTGCCATTATGTAGTTTGCCGCATCGCCTCTGTGTCAAAGCAGAACGTGATCAAGTGCGTGGTGGGCGCTTTTGCGCAGGTAACTCCACGCGCTGATGAAGCCATTCATCCCCAATCACGCTCTTCCCGTCTGTCTCTCTTGTTTACGCAGTTCTCTTCCCCGAGACGTCCGCCGCGACATGAGGCCTGCGGCAGGTAAGGACGCCTTCGCTTCAATTTCGTGCCGCGCATCACCTCGCCTTTTTTTAAGGGTTCCGTGTGAAGGGGCCAAGTGAAAAATGTCAAGTGATATCAAATCAATCGAGTCGAGTCTGGACTACAACTCGAGCGGGAGAGGAGGGGGTCGGCAGTGGGGAGGGGCGGAGAGGCTCGACGACATCTAGCAAAGTGACTGAAAGGGGAGCGGGAGAGTAACTGGCACTGATGGGACCAGACTGGGACTGCGCGGGGCCCGGCGAGCCTGATTGATAGAGCGTGATGAGACTGTCATGGAGCAACGGCGTTGGCAAAATAGGCGGCGGGACGGTCTATGAGCGGCGAGATCGAGCGGGAGAAACGCATTGGAGAACACGTGACGGATGATGCCGGCAAATATCATGAGGGGATTTGGGCTGCTCGCTGCTTCTACCCGGGTGAAACTTGGCACGAGGGCTCAGAGACGATTTGTTCACCGTCCTGCTAACCACAGCTGGAAAATTAGAGAAAAATAATCAATCGTAATTGTTTTGATTGAGCTCGAAATGAACCAAAAGATGATTCATTGATTTCAAAACGTAGTTCTTCAAGTACCAAAACTCAACTCCTCATGCACATTCATCACGTTCGTCACAACACCTTATTCTTGAACGCTATTCTTTTTGTCAAGTTCGGAATGACCTTGCGGGCGGCCCGGTGGTCCAGTGGTTAGCCCGTCAACCTCGCAGTGCAGAGATCGTGAGTTCGATTCCGGCTCCGGCTTTCCTGTGTGGAGTTTGCATGTTCTCCCCGGGCCTGCGTGGGTTTTCTCCGGGTACTCCGGTTTCCTCCCACATTCCAAAAACACGCATGGCAGGCTGATTGAACACTCAAAAGTGTCCCTAGGTTTGAGTGTGAGCGCAAAAAGTAAAAGTAAAAATAAAAATGTTTAACTGTGAAACTGAACTGGACTGAGCCAGTGACTCTAAAACATGTTGCGAATCCCTGCACGATTGAATGCAACCGTTTTTATGCTCCTTGTTGGCCACGAATGCCGTAAATACTCACAGCATCTGTTGGGCACACGGCAATAGAACTTGCGGACACATGGAATGCTTGGAAGGCCCAAACTGTTGGGGATTCAACAGTTCGTGATGTCTGGCTCGATAATGGATGCCAAATTTTTATGATAGTGGACGCGTCCTTGGCAGAGGAGAGCAGAGAGGCCGACTGGGCAAAATTATCCTTTCGCGCAGCACAAAGAGCGGGAAGTGGGTCCGATGGCCATGTGACTAAAAGGCAACTCAACCAGGTGAAATGAGCAATTCTCATTCAGGGACAGCTAGTGGACAAAAGATGCTGCGTGTGAAATGCCTGCTCACTTTGGCAGATCAATGCACTTTTTCCCTGAGTGCACTGCAGGCGAGGTAGTTTTCCGTGTGTGTGTGCTTGTGTGCGTGTGTCTCACTCCATGGACACATTTAATATTTGCCATGGCTGCCGCCAGTGAGCGCCCGCTGAAGCAAAATAGGCAAACGCTTTGCATAAACTCAAAAGACGAGCAGTGTCATTACCTACTCCCACCGGATATGAAACTGCTCAGCATATGAAGTGCACAATATGCACAATATTGGTCATATTTAAAAGCCTGCTGGTGCTAAAATGAAGCTCATGTTGACACGGTTTGGGGGACACTTACTGTATAGTCTATTCATGAAGCACAATGGAAAGCTGACTGATTTCATAAAGGATTGTTCTACAACAAATAAAGCCAATAGCATATTCCATTATTTCTGGATAATAACCCGCTACTTTTTTTTTTGTCCCAGACTGCAAACCCTTTGGCGTTAAATGTAACGTGGTTTATATATGATTAATATATATTTAGTCATATTTAGGAATTAAGGGTTAAGTTCAGCAACAAATGGGCCTGCTTCGTTCCACACAAATCTGTAAGTTGCACCGCCATCTAGTGGACAAGCCTTTCATTGTTCTGCAGGGCACTATACTTTTTTTTTGTCCCAGACTGCAAACCCTTTGGCGTTAAATGTAACGTGGTTTATATATGATTAATATATATTTAGTCATATTTAGGAATTAAGGGTTAAGTTCAGCAACAAATGGGCCTGCTTCGTTCCACACAAATCTGTAAGTTGCACCGCCATCTAGTGGACAAGCCTTTCATTGTTCTGCAGGGCACTATACATCACTGGTATAGATAGAGTAGTAGTAGTAGTATATCATGATACGAACAGTTAATTGAAATTCTGCTGCTTTGACCACGCTAAGACCGGTTTGTTGGCGAATGGCGGTCAATCTGTGAAGGGAAAAGATAGCACAAAATGTATAATAAACTCAACCAAACAAATAGCTCTTTGGATTTTTTAGTTCAAGTCGAATGGAAGCAGTCTGAGCAGAAAGTGAACAGCGGGCTGTAGATTCTCGTCACACATCAAAGTGTGAATGATCGGGTTGCAAGCATTCCCGCTGTGAAATGTCAAAAGTGTCCATTTTCCTCGAGCCAGTACAAAGAACCGCGGCTGGCGCATTGCGCAGTAAACAACTGTAAAAGACAGCCAGTGAGGCGGCAACCACACATTTTTTTTTCTCCCTTTTGCGCATTACAGTCGAAGTAAGTGGCCAAAGAGTGCCTGGGTGTCAAGTCGAGGAAAAAAAAAAAAAGTCGATTGCATTTTGGCAGACACATAATAACAGCTGTTAAATGCGGGTGAAGTGCGGTGAGCTTGTGCGTCTGGAACAAACACAGCCGACAAGATAGGCGGACAAAACGACTGTTGTTGCATCACCTGCTGGAATAACAGCGATGGTCTGCTCGGATAATAAGAACTAGCCCTCACGAATAACGTGTCAAAAACATTCTCTGAATGAGTATGCATGTAAAAAAGCCCAACTGAAGAATTCAAGTCCGTTCGAATTCAATCACACAAACCAATTAAACAAGTATGTGATCTTTGATAAGGCGAAGAATCTGTGCACATTCTAATCCGACTCTTGCAATGAATGGAAACAAGGCTAATTAATCATTAGATTTTCTTTAGAATCAAGATTTCCTTTTCGGAAATCTTCATCGTTGACTAGCTCATGGTGGAATTAATAGTAATCAAGCAAAAATAATTCAAGACATACACATAGCAAAAACTAAAAAAAAAAAAAGTAAAAATATAAGAGATTAAATTCAATAAAAATATAAACACATGATGTATACATATAAAGCATAATAAACATATCACAGATGTACTACTTTTGGATGCAGTAATTTTTTTTTTGTGGAAAAGTCTGACTTTTATGAGGAAGCGTGTGTGTGTGTGTGTGTGTGTGTGTGTGTGTGTGTGTGTGAGAATATATATGGAGAGAGAGAGAGAGAGAGAGAGAGAGAGAGAGAGAGACTCTCTCACACACACACACACACACACACACACACACACACACACACACCTAACATACGGTTCGGCTTCATACGGTGGACATCACACTGTGAAAATTATTTGGGGGCAGGGGGTCACACAGTTTGACGGGCCTGGAAATAGACCAAGCCATTCGGGGAAATCAAAACATTTTCTTGAAATTCCTGATGGCCAGCACACCTCTGTCTGTAGTGCACACACAGACATATGTATATACAGACAGTGGATCTATGATGGAGCCTTGTGGCACTCCCATATTGTACACAATAACCTGAAAATTAACCACCAGCAGAAGACATCTGCAACGGTCACTTGCGTGAGCTGGTCGAGAACATTTCTGTCTAGACTCAAGAGGGAAAAGAGGACAAATAATTTTGTGCAGTTTATTTAGGAGACTACGATCTTGACAGTCGAGACTGCCTATTTGATTTAATTACAAGAGAAGCGTCAGGGACTTTAGCATCCCCAATTGGATTCTGAACTATAACGCTCGCATGCTAATGCCTTAGCCTGACTCCTAATAAACAACAGGTAAAAGTGGGCTTAATAAAATGACGAGAAGCTGTGAAATGTGATTCCGAGGGGCCTGGAACGACAGGCGAATCAGCTGTCTCGGAGCTGTGCTTTTTCATTCGGATGTTCTCATTTGTATCCGCACCTGTGTCATTCACAGCCTTACGTCTTAACCTAATTTCATGGTCTGCGGGTCTGGATGGATGACTCTGCCGCCGCTTGTACACTGAAGGGAGGGGAGTGAGCGAGACAGCGCCATGACTGTGTGAAGGTGTGCACAGAAACGATCGCCAAAGAAAAAGCAAAAAGGATGTGCCGCCGCAGCAGCTATCGAATTGTAATGCCTGCCGGATATTAACCTTTTAAGTTCTTTTCTGTTCTCAAAATACGTCGAGCTCTTGCGAATGATGGATCAGAGGAACGATCAGAGGTGGAAGCCATTTCACGCGAAGCAAGTGTTATTGTAATACGTGAGCTGAAAGGTGCATGAACCTCTTTCAACACCTGGAGTCGACCTTTAAAAATCTCATTAAAAGCGACTCAAATGGATTTGGATAACACTCGTGTGAATGGGCTCAATTTGCAGCCAATTATACCGGAAAGGCGAAAAACTGATGACAACTACAAAAAAAACCCAAAAACCATACATCATTTATACTGTTTTCTTGCAACCTGATTGTCTTTGGGTGCCTATCCATAATCCCACCTGGTGGCATTCGTTGTGTGTTTTGATCCAAAGTTGTCTTTGATCAGTGATCCCAAACGACTGTGTCGTGGCACATTGGTGTTCTGTGAGAGATCATCAGAGGTGCGCCAAGAAAAATATCCATTTACCAATGCCTACATTCTGAGCCTTATGCTCGCAATATTCTGGTCTTTTCACATTTGGTTAAACTGCAAATCATCGGCAACTGGTCTTTTGCCCTCCCTTACATTTGGATTTTGGCCTGTTTTACTGCCTCTTCTCCCCTGGTTTTGTCTCCAGTTCCAATGCTTTAATGTTTTAAGCAAGGAATGAACACCGATTGTTCAGCAACGTGTTGGCTAACAATATAACACAACTCATGCATCATATTCCCTGTG